ACCGGACGAGCATCATGAGCATCAGTTGGACCCTTTTGCGCTGTTGAGGGGCACCGGGCGAGCATCATGAGCATCAGTTGGACCATTTTTCACGGTTAAGTGACGAGCGTCATGAGCATCAGTTGGACCCTTTCGCGCGGTTGAGGGGGGCACCGGACGAGCATCATGAGCATCAGTTGGAAGGGGGGCACCGGACGAGCATCATGAGCATCAGTTGGACCCTTTTGCGCTGTTGAGGGGGGCACCGGACGAGCATCATGAGCTTCAGTTCAACTTTTTTGCGCTGTTGAGGGGCCACCGGACGAGCATCATGATCATCAGCTGGATGCTTGTTTGGGTCAAGTGAGGGAGTGCTGATTGGATGGCCTCACTGAAACTACTCGTAGATGAAACTTGCATCAGCAAAAGCTGTTTTCATACGTGCTGATTCAGCAACGTTGCTGGCAGATCTGCCACCATGCACGAGGGCCGCCAATGCAAAATCAACCATGCACAACCTGCCGTTGCTTCTGAGCGTAATGTGAAGTGAACAGCAAGAGTACCTGCGCCACCTGCGGCTGCAGCTGCGCCGTGTAGTTTCTATGCTCCTATTAATTGGGGTGCCCTGCCCTTTTGACCGGCTTCAAGGCCCGCACGAAGGTACTCAGCAACCAGTTGACTCAGAAGGGTTTATAATGTAGGGATATACAAGGATAATGGAAAAGAAAATGCAATGGGGCTATATAGGGTTTTAGGTTTGTTGAAGGATGACCGCGTTTGTTTGGCGAGGGGCTGGCCCAGAGCTTGTGACGTCCGCCTGAGGCAACCCCAAGAGCATTTAGAAGAATGGCGGCCTTGTACGGACTTCGGGGCAAGGGTTCTACCTACTTAGGGGGTCGGGTAAGGTATACTTACTGCAAGAAATAGACGATACTCATAGCACAGGGACGATTTGTCCGAGTCCAAATCCCTCCACCCTTGCTGAAAACAGGCTTGTGACACCTTCTTGGACCAGTATGACAAGACCTCCTCCGGGCGTTCAAAGGCAAGATTGGCTTTTGCAGGGTACCTGTGCAACAGTTGTTTGCGTTTTGCAGCTGCATGATCTGCTTCCGCCATCCCAAACACAGTCCGGGCGTGCATTTTCTTTTTCAACCACTGGCAGCTGGGTGCGTGACATGGCTTTGCGCTAGCTCCGAAACCTTGGTGAGATCAACAGCTCTGCCTGGCCCCCGCCCGCCGGAAAAGGCTGTCAGCGCCCAATTCCGAAAGCTGGAAGAGTGTCTGGCAGAGCCTCTCAGATGCATTCATCCGCAGCCGCCGGTCGGTTCAAGCTAAGGGCACACAAATCCTGGCAGGGCATCTGAGACTCCAGTCCGAGAGCAGCAAGCTGAGGTACTCCGCCAAGTACGTGCGGCAACGTCTCAGTCAGAACAGCCAAGTCCAGGACACATTCTGTAATAATAGTAGTACTGATAATATTAACACTAACAGTCATAGTAATAATAGTAGGAGTCATAATAGTAACCACAGTAGTATTTCATGAATAAACTGAATCTTGCCAGTGTTGAGTCTCAGAGTCATCTGCACTTCGTTTGGAGGAAGTCATCGATGTCAGGAACAAGAAGCAATCCAAAGAGGTGCTAGGGAACCTTGCCAAGAACTAGGGTCTACAAGGTTCCTGAAAATAATTTGTAATTTCTGTTACCTAAAATCCTAATATTTAGTTGAAAATATAATTTCTACTGGGGTTCCAAATCCCTTAGAGGGGTGGGGCAGGGATGAGCTGGTAGGCCAGGCAAGCAGCGGAGAAACGTCAGCAGCCGCTACCAAGCTAGTTACTTGACGCCAGAGACGCACTGATTGCGCACAGATGTGACAACTGTTCTGCAGATTTTCTATGAAGCCAAAGTATGCTTTGTGCCTTTGAAGGGACCCTGTTTTGCGCAGACAGCGGTCTTCTCTCCCGTCAGATGTTGGCAAACTAATGGACATGCCATTCTGATTTCTGATTCTGTAGCATTTCGCTAAGGAGCCTCTTCAACCGCGCCTTGGTGAAGGAGAAACTTTGGGGTGACATCACTGCGAATGAGCGCCCGGCCAGCATGGAGAAGTGGTTTCAGGTTTTTGGCCCCAATGTGCGAATTCCAAAATTCTTCGAGGAAAAACGGTTGCAAACCTTTCAAACTGGGGAGCAGGATAATGGCCAATCAAATGGAAACTAGTAAATCATCATAGGGTATTATATTGGGGTTTTATAGGGGATGATGGAAAAGAACATGGAAGCTACTACAGTATATTGATAATTATAGCTTTCTGGAAATTCATGTCAAGTCAGATGCCCCCACAAGCCTTTTTGCCTCCATTGTTCCTGATAGACTAAGCCTGTGCTGGCCGTTCCAACACTCCCCAGACCCTCCTATGTAGTTCCATGTTTGAGTAGTATATCAAAATCCTGTACCAAAAAACATGAATGACCCGAAAAGGAACTACATAGGAGCCCTTGCGTATACTGAGAGAAGGCAGGCATAAATCCCATGGGATCCCGCTGAAAGCTTCTTGGCTGCAGGAAAGGCGAAATTGACGGCCCTGTGGAAACCACCGAGACTGTCCTCGAATCTTCAGGTGCAATTGAGTTTCCATTATATACACAATTTATTCGCAGCATTCTCTCACATATATTAGGATCCCTATTATACTCCCTATTAAGGGGAGGGAGTTTATTAATCAGAGGGTCTGACCAGGCCTCCCGCAGGAGGACACTAGCGTGATGCAGTACCTGGACTTGCGCCTTCGCCAAGATGAGGGGTGAGGGGGGGGTGCCAAGAATCAGTGTGAAGGAGAGATCTAGGGGTATACAGGTGGATGTGGGATTATGTAGGGGTATAATATGGGGTTCAGGGATTAGGGTTGTCGCAAAATTTGGGCGTGCGTGAGAGGGATGGCTATTTAGGAAAGGTAGATGGGAGCAAAAATTGTGGCCTTAAATGCAGGATGCACAAGCGTTTCCCATCTTGCCAGGTGCCGGTATGGTGTAGCAGTATAGTATACCATCGTATAGTTTAGCATGGTGTGGAAGCCTGAATGATGCTTCAAATTGTGCATTCAACTGCTTATACAATATCTGGTATTATTGCGATAAACCCCAATTCTCTGTTGCACTTTCACGCCTTCATCACAATCGTTATGCAAACCTCAACATAAGACCAGTCTTCATCCCCATATGAGTCTCCGATATTGGGGTGAAATGTTCGCATACACCCTTATAGAAATCCGTATATAATCCCTAGACGACTTTATATATCGTCTATATACCCCTAATATTGGGGACCCCTAAGCCCTTTCGTTCTGTCAAGGCGTATGCGACTTGAAGACAAGGAGCGTGAGGAGGGCGGAGAGAACGTCCACAACTATGGCTCGGAGTCTTGTTGCTCTACAGGTCCTGGTCACGAGAGGGGGATATACACTATGTTATAGATTTATGTGTAGTGGATGCCCTCCCCCGTATATTACCCCGCCTTTTCAGGCTTCCTGTTATTTAAGAAGACCCACCGGGTGGGTAGTTGTCAGGTGCGTACAGGGTTTAGGGTTGAGGGTCTAGGGCCTATATAACGTTCTGTACGGATCAGGATGTTGGCCTTTCCTGGTCGAAAGTGCTGGGAGTGGGCCGATGACATCCTTCCAGGCGTACTCAGAAAGCCTGTTGCATAAGAAAGAGCCTGTATAATGTACAGGCCTGATATAACCCGGTTAGTATTATACGAGCCTCATATGAGCCATAGTCTAAACTCCTAGTATCACCCTTAATAATCCCTATAGTAGTCACCTATATGATCCCTTGTATAACCCCCATTAAGAAGTTTAGACTCTAGCTCATGTGAGCCTTATTTGCAGGTACTGACCTGGTATACCTACCTGAGTGCGTCTTTTATTTATGGGCGAATGCAAAAGAACTTGGAAGCTACAATTTTTGGTTGGAGGTTATTGCCTGTGGGACGTAGTAAAGCAGTTGCGACTAGGGGATAACAGGGGTTAGTATAAGGCCTGCAGGGGCCATAAGGCTATAAGACTATAAGTGTACTTACGAAGTCGCGCCAACCGCGCATGTGCGCATGGTTCACTGGAAGCTCTCGTGCTTGCTTCGCCCCTGCGGTCAACCTTGGAGAATGTAAGTCACCTTCTTTGCTGCAAGCTGTATTGGCACTTACGACACATGTGAGCTACAGTCTAAACTCCTTAAAAGGGGTTATATGGGGGATTATCTATGAGACTACTGTAAGGGTTATCAGGATACTAGGAGTTTCGGCTATAGCTCATTTGACTAGGGGGTCTGGCGCGGGAGCGGATGGCAGACGGCCTCTGCATGGCCTTGACATGCACATGACTGTAGACTGCGCCAAGGATTTGCAGGAAAAGTTGATGAAGGTCTACGTTCGGATGCAGGACGGTGGGCTTCAAGAGCATATGAGCAATAGTCTAAACTCTTAGTATCCCCCTTAATAAGCCTTATAGTAATTCCCTATATAGTGCCCCATATAACCCCCTTTAAGGAGTTTAGACTATAGCTCATATAGATCTCTTTCCAAGAGTAGAGGTCCGTTTTATGTACCTTCCCAAATACTACAATTCTCATTGTGGGACGCTTCAATTAATCGGAAACATGCACATAGGGCCGAATGGCCTCATAGTGCAGAGGATGCAACCCCCTGTTCCCAGCTACGGTGAGAGTGATTCTGGGTGGACCCAGTAAGTGGTTTAGAGTTTAGTGCTTTAGATTTGAAAGGTGGGGCGCCTAAGTTATAATTCGGGTTATAAGTAACTTGTAAGGGGATAAGTCTAGTTACAGTTATAGGTCTATTAACTATAGTTATTGGATTTATAAGTATATAGTCATGTAGCTTTGGAGCACCACCCTCTAGGGTTAAGAGTTTGGGTTCTCGAGGGTTGAGGGTTTGGGTATTCCGTGCTTAAAGGTCTCTTTCCGAAGATCGCTGACAGAGCCCCAGATAGGATAGACCCTAAATCCCTAAACCATATACCCCGAAACCCTCAAACTCTAAACCTCAGACCCAAAAAACTTAACCGGCCTCGAGTAATCCTTCCGAGTTTCTTCTGAGTGTCCTTCTTAGGTTGCTGTCCTATCTGGGTTGTGCATAAGAAATTTACCGTAGTGTAGGATACTTATAGGAATCTGGACGGGAGTGCTGAGAAATATCTTGGACTTCCAAATCACCCCCAAACTAGGGCCCAACGTATATGCAAACCCTGAACCCTGAATATCCTCATTTCACTTTCCATGCGCTTTCCCATTTGTTCTCCATTATTCTTCCCTTGAACCCTAAACTCTGGGTGCAAATGGCAAAAAGCTAGGAGCTTCCATTTCGTTTTCCATGCTCTGCTCACTTTGCTTCTCAATTCTTCAAAGCAATCCCTATATCCTGTATAAACCGTAAATAACAGCTATACAGCCCTAAATAGCCCCTATAGACCCTTTCAGGGTACTGTATCTTGCCTTCCTGGCATCAGGAGCGCCAGATGGAAGTGGCGGCAGATGTGGACGATGCTTTGCGGAACCCGAAGAGGATGGCTCTTTGCAGCATTTCTGCACGCAGGGGGGCTTTTGGGAGCTCATTCCTAGGACGACTTGGATTTTCGAAGGCAGATGCAAGGGCCTTTCAGGGCTGCTGAGCGTAGAAACCACCGCGTCCAAAGCTTTCATCGAAAATCCCTCCCTAAACAGTATAGACCCTAGAAACCCCATAAACCCTAAGCCCTACCCCTTAGGCGCTAAACCCTAAAACCTATAACCCGCAAACACTAAACACCTAAACCCCTGAACCCTAAAACCTATAACCCCTAAGCCTTAAATCCCACCAGGCATGTCCCGCGCCAACAATGCCAAGTTCAAAGCCCTGGAGCGGATCAGCGACGGCAACTGGGTTGCTGTTCAGGCACTTAAATTAAGTTACCATAATGGGTATATATAGTAATTAATATGGTTTTCCCAATATGATAACTTATTCTAAGTTCCTTCAATCCCTACATTCCCCCAGTTTCCATTTCATTTTCCATGTTCTTTTCCATGTGATTCTCCATTACAAGGCTCTTGTAGAACAAGATTTTACATTTTTATGGCTACCTGGGCCCAATATCAATAAAGAAAGATCTTCTTTTTTAAATTGTATTTCAACAAGAACCCAGATTATAGGGGAGATAAAAGGGTAACTTAAGTTAAGTTCCTTAACAGCAGCGCAGGCAAGGATGCCAGATCGTCCCTTCAGCCTCCCGGCGTCACTTTAAAGGGAATATGAGGGTTATAAAGGAGAAGATGTGTCTTATGGGATTGGATTGACTGGTATGTATCTATGTATGTATGTATGTATGTATGTATGATCTATGTATGTAACAGGGATATCATAGGGTTACATGGTGTTAGTTAGGGTTGTAGAATTCCCCAAGCCAGGGGTACCTTTTTGGGGGGGATTCCGAAAATCCGGGCCTTCTCTTGGGAAGTTGTTGCGGTGGGGATTCTAGTCTTGTTGCCGCGGTCTATATTGGAACCCTATTCATGGAAACTTCCATGTTCGTCCAACACTGTTTGCTGGGCATTGCGGTCATCTTGTGAGTGCAGTCTATCACGAAGCGAAGGATGCCGGATCATGGCCGGCTATAAGACAGATGTGGGACTTTCTCAAAAAGGAGGGCCGATAGGAAAGTAGGGGTATAGACATAGAGGGATTATAAGGGGGATGATGGGGTCTTTGTTAGTGATTTTTGGGAAGGTTTTTGAGAAACTCCCATGTAGTGCTATGCAATACGGCATGTAACAGCGTGGAGAGCTACTCGCAAGCAGGCCACTTGTCATGATTGAATTAGCACTTTGCATTGGCACCATTGTCCCACCTATTCATCAGCTAGCATTCCACTCCACGAGCACAGCTCATCAACAAGGATTGTGAGCGCGCCAAAAAGCTCATGAAAATGCTACCAACGCACCATGCGATGCTGTAATGGGACGTCTGGAAATATCACGCCGTATGAGATGCTTGAGCAAGTTGTACTGCAGTCAAAGGCACTTAGGCAGTGCGATCGGCAGGCAGTATGAGGTTTTGCAGACTTCAAGGATCTTGCAGGTGATCCGGGTAGCTGGCCAACATCATAAACAACAACTCAGACTTTTCTTTGCGTGATCGATGAAGATAATTTCTGCGAAGCTGTGTTCCAATCAGCGGGTCTACGCACAACAGTCGAGTGTCTCAGGATTTGCATCCAGGATCTCAACCAACAACAGGCCGGACCTTGACTAGGGCTTAGGGTTTAGGATGTAGTTCTTGCGCCACAGTCAGACAATTTGCTCCACCGCAATCTAAGGGTTTCCAAAGAAGCAGGGTATTTTCAATTGCAGTGTACAGTAAATGGGGAGGACCCAATTTTTCTTGGAAGCTACCATAGCTTAAGGCTTTGGGGTTTAGGGTTGCATGTGCCTTACACTGGGCTTCAGAAGCTTTCTGCAAAAGGTTTGAGCGTGGTATCTTGTGAGAACTGCCCGTGGCGCAGTGAGTTCAACGCGACCCACTTCTCCTCGCCAGAAGATCAAACGCTGAATCCTAAACCTTCAGATATATCCAGAAGCCACAGTTTCCATCTCATGTTCCAGTTGCTTTACCCTTCCTTACCCTAGAGCCCTGAACCCTAAACACTGGCTTCAATTCCATGACATGCTTACATAACCCCAGCTAAGTAGCAGTCCTATGTCAACCCAGCCCCAGGTGGCCAAAGTGTACCTGCGCATGGTGGAGCATTTGGATGAGTCGCTGAGTCAGGTGTCTCAGCAGCACGAATAGACGGATTGTATAGGATTCTAATTGTGATTTTCGGAATAGAACGGGAAGGAAAAGCCAATGAAAACTGCTAGTTTCTTTGGGGTGGATTTCCAGGGGCTCTTTCGGCGAGCGGGAGTAATTATCATGCGCTTGTTCTGCAATCATCGGCCCGGGCCATACAATTCTGACACTTTCGATAGTGAGATGATTGGCCATGCGCTCAATTCTCCAGATGTGCCTCTTGCCATGCTCAGTTGCTAACCCTCAATGATAGTTTTCTTTATCTTTTCTATCATTCCTATATCATCCCTTTTTAGTACCAGCTTTCATTTCATTTTCTGGGTCATACTGAATGAGGTCTTCGGCCCAGGCTCTTCAAATAGTTGATATTCAGGGGGCTCAAAAGGTGGGATGAAGGTAGGTGGGGTATAGGAAATAAGGCCCAATATAGTAGAGTCTACAATAGGCATCCTTGAACCCACCTAGCTTTATCCCACCTTTTGAGCCCCCTGAGATATTGGCAACACACAGGTGGACATCTCTGAAAAGGTGACCCCGTTTGTTGAGACAACGATTCCGGCAGAGACTTTGTCAGCACATTATGAGACGGTTAAGGGTTTTTGGATTTGGGGTTTAGGCTCTTAGTGTCTTGGGATTTGCGTTGTGGAACAAGGTGCGTCTTGGCTTGCAAGGGGTACTTGACAACTTTTCCTGGCCATTGATGCCGCCGCAGTATATTGGGTTAGCTTTCAAGCTTTCCCGACCCAAGCCTCAAAATCCTGTACCTTCCCAGTTTAGAGTTTAGGGCTTACAAGTCATCTTCCATTCTCTTTTGGTTTCTCCACGATTGGGGAGAATCTCCCTGAACCCTAAACCCTATAATAACGGGTTACACGGGCTTTTTGGGGCCCTGTCCTGCAGCTGGCTAGCTTTGCTGGGGTCCCGGAATGAATCATGTTGCTGAGTGCGATGTGCTTGCCTAAAACAGTAGCTTTCATTTTCTTTCCATTCTCCCTGTATGACCCCTAAAACATCCTACGTACATAATCCTCATAGCCCCTAGTCATGTTTATAAGGGCCCAGGTGCCCAAATACTCAGAGCTTACACCAGCTCTTTTGAACTCAAAAGATTTGTGCTTGGCTACTGCCCCCCTCTTTGGAACAGCAGGATAATATCTATAGTATAGTTATATGTAGCCCTTAGTATGACCCCTAATACAGACTGTTGCAGGGTGGGGGCAGGACCCGTATTTTTGCGCTTATAAGCCACGGATACGGGCCTAGGGAACCTTAAAAGTGTGGCCCAGGAGATCGACAAGCAGGTTCGCTTCGTGCTGGATGAACAGCGTCCCAAGAGCAGTGCTCAGCTGCCCTGCCGAAGTGGCTTAGTGTTGGCACCCATATGGGTGGTTGTCAAAATAATGGGCCCTTTTTAATTACCCTAAATTTGAGGTGCCGTATTTATGATAGGGATCCAAAAAGGGACCATAATTTTGACAACCACCCATATAATTGAAAACCTCAAACGTTAGGAGTGCTTGTTTTCGTCCAAAATTGTTCTGTAGTTGTTTAGCCTGGTGCAGCATTGCTTGGGCGTTCAAAGATACTTATCAGCTTGTTTGCTGAAGTTTCTGCACATCTCCCGGGCCCGCACGTGGCATCCAGGCATTGCATGTCCTCTTTAGTTTCATGCGAATCTTTCTGGGCTTTCACGGAAACTAGAGTTTGGTCGGTTGAGCAAACAGGCACCGTGGGAAGGGACTTTTGAATATGTATTACTTTTTGCCCGTCTGAGTGATCGTGCATGTTGTCAGCGTCTTCGCCTCAAAACGGGTGACAGAGCAGTCTCTGAACTGAGGAGACTTTTCGACACCATCCGACGCAAGAAGAACAGCATTAAGCGGACCGAGGCAAGGAAGAGAGCATACCTCGGAAAAGGCGTTTGCATTCTAAACTCGGTGGCTTACATACATTTGCGTGACTGGAGGAAACAACCCCCAATTCGGTAGTTTCCCAAAATAGGGGGACCCAATATTGACTCCAATACCAAATAGTCCTTATTACGGGGACCCCGAAGATAGCACCACTAGTCTTGGGAAATCCCCATTCCAGTTTGGAGCCAGGTGAGACAACGGCTCACACTGAAGAGGGCGTACGAGCCGGACTGGGGATAAGTTACCTGCGCTTGCTATAGATGATGTTGAAATATTGGGGTAGTATCACTACTGGGATAATGGAAACTACTACAGTATATTGGGATTATATGGGGTTATATTGATGGGATAATGGAAAAGAAAATGGAAACTACCATATTATAGTGGAGTTATATGAGATTCTTTGCGTGATGTACGGGCCCTTCTGCATCCACGGCTTGGCTTCTTGGATGGCTGCATTTGTGTAATGTTGTGTAGAGCCGTCGGCAAACTGCTAACTTCCCCATACCGCCTGACACCCTAAACCCAAACCCTAAGCCCTACTGTAAACCCTAAACCCTACTGTAAACCCCAAACCCTATACCCTACTGTAAACCCTCAATCCCAAACCCTAAACCCTACTGTAAACCTAAAACCCTAACCCTAATCTTGAGGAGGGGTTGATGGCCTTCCTGGAAGACGTTGGTCTCATTGACAAGTCTGCAGCAAAGAAGAAGGCCCGGCAGAAGCGCTGACAAGAGGGTTCAGGGTCGGGGGTTCAGGGTACCTTTAAAAGGGGGATATACGGGATATATATGAGCTATAGTCTAAGCTCCTTAAAGGGGCTTATATGGGGGATTATATAGGGGACTACTATCGAGGTTATTAAGGGGGATACTAGGAGTTTAGACTATAGCTCCTATGGGTTGTATAGGGATTATATGGGGCCTAGGGTTTTTGGTTCAGGGTTTATATAGCTCAAAAGCTGAGGGATAGCCTGGAAAGGGTGTTTCTGAGACCTTTGCGCCCAATGAGGCCATGCATTACACCGCTTTCTACAACCGTGTGGAGCGAGGAGTCCACAGCTGGAGGCGGGAAGATGACGATGGCACGGAGTCCAAGGCCGGATGAATAAGTAGTAGCAGAGTAGGAACAGTGGTTTTTAAGAATAATGGTACCCACCGTAGCGTGAAAATTCCTCAGAATTGTTCGTCTCCAGCAACAGTAGCACTAAACTAAACCCCCCTACGCCCTAATCAGGTATACTCCCCAATACACTACCCATACATGTTGAGGGCAACCCTAAACCCTAAACCCCTAAACCCCAAACCCTAAACCGGGGGTGGGGGAGTTGAGTAGTGATTGGTACAGTGACAGCGCTGCTTCAGAAATAGCTACGCTGAGATGAGGGTACCCTCGATTTCTTAATTATGAGGCCTACTGTCTTTTTATCAAAAATGTTCTAGTTCACTTTGAGGGCACCCTCGATTTCTTAATATACATTTCTTAATTCGGGCGAATATATTAGACATGACGCATTTCAAGCAAAAACCAAATTAAGAAATTGAGGGGCTCAATTTCTTAATTTGGTGTTTTTTTTTGAAATCTGGATATTTTTATCAGTTTGGAGACAAACTACAAAAGGTAATTTCAAAACATATCTATGGCCAATTCTATGAAAGTTTTTCCAGAATTGAGACATTTCAAAACCAGCCACGTTACAAAAGCAAACTAAATTAAGAAATTGTCTCCCGCGAAGTCAGCGTACCCTCGATTTCTTAATTTCTATTTGCCATGTTTTTTCATCATACATTTCTAGGCGCGGCCGGCGAGGGGCTCAATTTCTTAAACCAATGATTTCTTATACAGTGCTGTCGCTGTAGGAGAGGTCAGGCAGGCATGCTTTTGTTGTCACAGCTGCGTGTCATCCCTTGGTATGGTGCACATGCCTGCCAGGTACCAACAGTCAAGTTACAAGCAGGCTTTAGGGTTTAAGGTCATGTAAATCGCCCCTATTGCTACTCTTATAGGTGTCACAAGTTTCTAGTAAACTACCTACCTAGTGCAGCAGCGCCTAACCCTAGGCCTTGAAATTCCAATATCATCCCAGCGCCCATTTCATCTTCCACTTATTGCTCCATTTGATGTCCCACTGTTTGTGTAATATCCCAAACCCATACAACGCCTACTTAATCCCTATATGAGTCCTATATGACCTTCGCATTTTATACAAACCTATATTATCCTACTTAGCTTGCAGGAGTTGGTCGTTGACTCAGCAGATGTTGAAGACTTCGTCCGCGAGCTGGTTCATGGACAGATTTGGTGGGGTGCAATGGTCCCTCAGCTTATTTAAAGGACTCCCTAAGGGGCTTCTAAAGAGGGGAGGCTCAGAAGAAAGGGTGCCAAAGGGTCCCAAAAGGTCGCTGAGCTTATCTGGGAAAGCCTCAGCATGAGCCCTGTATGTGGGAGTTTTTGCAAAAGACATGCCATAAATCCCGAATGAGGTCACCCCATAATCCCCTAATAATCCAAATCCTTCTCTACGGGCCTCTATCTTGAGAAATTCCCACCTTTGTTTACACCTACATAATTACAACAGGTCCTTAGCATTGTTGAGAGATATCCTGGGTGTCTGACAGGGCACCTCATTGTGAGGATTTCCCGTTTGATGTGATGGCAGCAGAAAGAGAGGAGGCATACTGCCTTCCTTCTTGGCAAATTATGCCGACCTCACTCGACCTCAGCCCAAATGGTGTTTTCCACATAGAACGCTCCCAAATCGTTATTCTTAGGTTCAAAAGTTGTTTTTCAAACAGGCAGTTCCGCGCTCTAAGGAAGAGATCCTCAGGAACATTGGTTTTCCTCTTGCCTCCGAGAAGAACAAATCCGAATCCAACCTCCTGACAAGGGATCAGGTTATGCTCCAGTTTGATGCTCGGCCAGGGTTCAGGGCTTATAAGGGTTTAGGGCGTAATGATTTGTAGATGTTGGGGGGTAAAATGGGGGCTACCCTAAATCCTAAACCCTGTACCTCATTCCATGAGGATATATGGGGACTATGTAATGGGAGTTAACGTGGATTAGGGATGAACTCTAGGGTCATTCCACTGCTGCCAATTTTATACTTCTAGATTGTTCAGGGGTTAAGCGTCTAGTTCGCACAGTTCAGGTATAGGATACTGTACATAACAGGCCTCAAAATTATGCTGGCAATTACCTGGGCGCCTGTATCAAAGCATTCTTGAGTGCAGGGTCCCTGGCATAGCCACAGGCTGAGCGCATTGAGTTCTTTCGACTTATACCCCCCCATAGAACCTCTATATAATCCCTGTATATCCCCTAATAACCCTCCTTCAGTGGCTGATCATGTGTAATCTAGATCAACCTGTGTTCCCTATTAAGGTTTAGGATTTTGGTATGTCATGTTTAGTGTTTAAGGTTGAGGGATGTACTGTTTCGGGCTCAGGGTTGTAGTCTTTAGGCTTATGTACATTATAAGGCTTAGGGATGTACTGTTTAGGGTTTCGGGATGTATTGTTTAGGGTTATAAGGCTTAGGGATGTACTGTTTAGGGTTTAGGGTAGTTTAGGGTTTGGGGAATGTCATGTAGGGACAGCTTTCCCAAGGAGATGGCTGCGGCCAAGGACGGTATGCTCCCGAAGGATAAGTTCTTGGACTTCTTGCGGAAGGCTGGGCTGCTAGATAGGGTTCAGGGTTTAGGGTTTTAGGAATGGACAAGTGAAACCTACAGTACTTTCTTGGGCTATATAGGATCACTTTAAATGATCCATTCTTTCATTCCTTGAAAACCAGAGATCAGGTTTAGGTTCAAGCTTTCATCCACAAGAGCGGTTGATGGGATAATGCGCGGTTTAGGGTTTAGCACTCAGCCAGGGATTGATGCCTTAGGGTTGCTCTAGCATTTAGAGGGCCCCAGTAATCCCTAAGTCCCAAGGCCAGACTGAGCATGTGCTGCGCATGCAGTGCAATGAGCGTTGAAACCCCAACTTACCTCTGACTGATTAGGGTTTCGGATGAGGAATGGATTCTTAGAGCAGTCCCTATATAGTCCCCCATAGTATACATTTTCAATGTTCTTTTGCACTCCTTCGTTCCCTGCTACCCCGGAGGTACTTCCCGAAAATCGCATTAAGCTTTGTGGGAGGGAAGACAGCCTTGAACCGATTAGGTGTCCATGGCAGATGTAGCGGACGGCGCAGCCGGGCGTCTTTGGAAAGCCCAGATGGTGATGATACATGGCTGAAAAAAGTTTATGGTTTAGGGTATTCAGTTAAACAGAGAGGCACTGGAAATATGTGGAGGATGTATTGCGCTTCATGGGGCAGGTGGAGAGGTTTCCGTGGCAGTCATGGGCCCATTCAGCAACAGGCTTAGGTAGGGAAAGACAAGTTAAGAAGTTATAGCCAGGTAGAATCTTAACAGTCTTTTGGAATTATGCATTTACTAGTGTCTCCTAACATGTTTATTAGCTTATTTGTATTGAGCAGCCCCCTTTTACAATATTCGGGAAGGCCCAAGACAGTTGATCACAATGCAACCTCATAATGTATTGCGAATTAAGCCTCTACAGCTCTAGCTGTGTGCCAGCCCCATTTATTCGAAACCGCTACAAGCCCCCATCCGACTCTACTCCCTTACGACTTGGGCTTGGGGCCTCAAACCTTAAACTCCAAACGCTTTGCGTCGACCAGGCTAAAAAGACTGAGCCAGAATCCCCATAATCCGGTGCTAGGCTTTTGCAGCATCTCAACATCTGCGGCTTTGTGGGCAAGTCCCTGGACAAGGCAGGGTCAAATCCCAGTACGTTGGGGATTTCAGGGTTTAGGGTCTAGTGTTTACACTAACCTTTGGTGAAAAGGGTTGCGCAATACCCCCCCAAGTGATGTTTGTTGGGGTCATGTAGGTTTCAAAATTAGGGCTCCCATTCCGGGGGTTCCCGTAATAGGGCCTTTTTTGAATATTTGGGTCTACATTGGGATTGCCCAATTCATGGTTCATATATGGAACCCTGCTTCAAGGCGGAGAAAGATGCAGATGTGGCAGATGATGGTCTCCGCGAGATGGGTGCGCAGCGGGCTCAGTTTGGGGGAATATAGGGGTTATACAGGGGTTATATTAGGATAATGGAAAATGAAATTGGAAACTGCCATTTTAGAGTTCAGGGTCTAGGGGCTTTAGAGGGAAGAGTGTGTGCGCTGTTAGTCCCACTTCTGGCAGCACATGGAGCCCAGATGGAAATGCAGGGATACACAGAGGTTATAAAGGTTATACATTGAGGATCTAGGGCTTGGGATTTAGAGTTTCATACTTTTGGGTTCATGAGGGTGTAGGTAAGTATGTAGAATCAAACCGACAAGAATACGGAAGATGGCATGACTATGGCGTTATATAGGGTTTCTTTCGGTTTAACTAGGGGACTAGATACTTAATTACTACTATGATAGTCCTAGGTTTCCTGATAGACCTCCAACCGACGTGGGTAGTTTCTTCAGGCCCCTGATAATTTGAGCACCTGCGGAGTGTGTCTACACAGTGCTCATAATTTTGGAGTCCAGTACATTCATCAATCATACTCAACCCCTAGAGTGCTAAAAGTTGAGCTTGGGATACCAAATCCTTTGTTCAAAAATAGTTGATATGTTGGGTTAAGTGTATCGGGAATCTACAGGGACCCTAGTATAGTTGCCGCTATCCGTCAGGATTTGGGGTTGAGGACCTAACTCAGTTGACATTCTATAAGGCCAAGGCAGAAGAATGTTAGTTGCAGGAATGATGACACTGCTTATCAGTTATAGCCATGATGATACTCATGCCCTAATTGTGTTCATATGGGGGTTTCCCAAAATTAGGGGTACCTTTTTGGGGTCCCCATGAATTCTGGGTCCCCCGTATTCAGGGAAATTACCATACTAATCCTAGTTCTTCAGGCAGAAGTGGCCCGGCTGGCTCGAGTTTCTTGGCTAGCAGTGGCCAGCATGCCCCTCCTCACTGGGCGTGCTGATAAGGGTTTAAGGCTTAGGGTTAAGGGCTTAGGGTGTAGAAGCTAGCTTGTTTGGGGGGGCTTTATACAGGGATGCCACAGGCACGTTCAGGGTTCAAGCTGTACACAGGCTCACCATTGAAGGCGGGAGGTAGGATTGTAAAGACACCTAGGCCGATTTCGGAGTTTCTCAAAATTACCCATATTCCAAAACAGGGCCCCTGCAATTCCTTCGTAATCTCAACATACGTAAATCAGGGATTCTTAGGGTCTTCCATTTTGAGAAACCACCATTTGTAGTTGAGCCGCTGGACTTCTTGCCAGATTGGCAAGTAACTGTTGTGTGTACAAGTATGGTTTTTGTTCAAGAGGTATGTAGGTGACTTCTCAGGCCAGAAACAAGACTTTTAAGGGATACTGGTGATTATATTAGGGTGCTCCTATATTTCTATTATACCACCATTACAGGGCGGGGTGCCACTCCTAAGTAAGTTTCCCTTATTCACAATTCCGCGAAGCCGCTAAGCCTTGTTAAAGGTTTCAAGCTTGGCAGCCTCATCAGTTTTCACCCAGTGGTGGGGCCTACTGAAGCAAGCCCAGCTGGGTAGCACTAGGAGTTTAGGGTTTAGAGTTTAGGATTTGGGCTTTAAGGTTTAAGATGTTGAGCCTAGGCTTTAGTCCTCAACACAGGGAAAGATCAAAGGTATAGGCTTTTGAAAGAGGAATACAGCATGGTTCAAAGATGCTGGGCTCAGCAACCAGGAAAAGCCTTACCCGGCTGTATAATCTCTCTAGCACCCATAGAAGCCCAGACTTTCCAACTGATTCTCCATGATTGGTACTTATCCCCGCCCCCAGTCCACATGGTCAGTCTGAATCTCATGTTCCATTTGCTTGTCCTGTTGCTTCTTCATCCTTTGGCATGCTACCTCCCTGTACATCCCAATACCCTGCACCCTGTATATCCCGTATCCTTATCTACTCCCTATATATACCCATACCACCCAAAAGCAGTACTCAGCTAATGCAGGCTTGGGCGTCATCACTCTATATCCTTCCGCGGCCCAATAAAGCCCCCATCTAGCCCCCTACCCCCTAGATATCCCTATACAACCAAGGCAGGCATAGGAGCGGCTCTAAACCCTAAATCCCAAACCCCTCAACCCGAAATCCTAGCTAAGGCAAGCTTGGGAGAAGGTGGCTCCTAAAATCTCAGAGCAGAGTGATGCCCGGCCGTTTGTGCCTCGTACCCAGACACTCCGCTGCTACAAACGGGGTTCAGGGTGTGAAGATAGCTTGTAGGGTTTGGGGTTTGGAGCTTAAAAAATTGCCCTTCCAAAACGAACATGGCGGCAGCGTTGTACTAAGGGTGTTTGGTGGGTGTATAGAGGGTGTATTATTAATGTTCGTATATGTACATATTGGGTGTTCAAACGGGAGGCCATAAACTATTATCCGACCATAGGATGTGAAAGGCCGTTTATCATAATTCTGGATTGCTGTTTGGAAACTTCATATAGCTTATCCTAATGAGGCAACCCTATATCTCATTATTGTTAATGTGAAGAGGTTCTGTAACAGCAAAACCCTAAGCCCTAAATCCTAGACTGTATCCTTGTCAGCCTCATTTTAGGTTAGAAGGTTTCTGGAATGTAGTCTCGGCTTCCTGACCTTCAAGTTCATCGAGGATTGCATGACCACTATTTTGGTTAACTAAGGTACAAGTCATAAGGTTTAGGGTTTCGGGTCGAAGGTTTAGGGTCATAAGCCTCCAACGGCGACTAATAGGTCAGTACCATCTCTGGAGGAAAATCGTGATGATTACTCTGGTCCTCCCAGTTCCACCACCAAAGAAACGATTGTCGCCAAACGCCCATTCTTTTTGCGTTGGAATATGTCAACGTGGCCCAAGAACCTGGCAAATCACTCCATAGAAGGGCATATGCTACCTAGACTTTCCAACTACTCTCTATTCAGGCCTCCGTGCCCACTAGGGGCCCTACAAGCCCAAAAATGGGTACTAGGAGGGTCCTGGTACACACTGCATCCAGGATCTATAAGTTCGTCAAGTCGGTAGCCTTCTCCGCGGAAGAGAAGAGCCGTGACAAGAGCGAGGAGTGGAAGGCGATGAGGGTCGTGGACGAGGAGCAACTTGTCCAACTGAGCTATAGTCTAAACTCCTTAAAGGGGGGGCTATATAGGGGATTATATAGGGGACTGCTATAGGGGATATTAAGGGGGATACTAGGAGTTTAGACAATGGCTCAACTGTCTTTCAGCCAACTTTCTGTTTTGGCACAGGATAGTATGCCACTCTTTGCGGCGTGTGGCGGGCCTTGATCTGGTTTAGGGAGCTGAGAACCTGTATGACAGATTTCAGATGGTGTTGGCTTGCAAGAAACCAAGTTCATCAGCCCGTGGGGGCTTGACATAGTGATGACTAGCTGTATGAGCTATAGTCTGAACTCCTAGCATCCCCCGTAGCAGCCCTATGATACTCGCCTAAAAATCCCTGTATGAAGCTCTTTGAGTAGTTTAGACTACAGTTCATCTGTGCCCGCTTGCTACAGGTATGACACCTGGCGACTTCAGAAGGATGAGAGCGATCATGCACGAAAATACTACCTGTGGGCGACGGAGCAGCATTGGTACTCTTATTGCCATTTTTCGTTAGTATGATTACTATTACCACTATTACCATTACTGCTACGATTATTGTTGTGCTTAGTTTTACTAGTATGAGTATCATTGCTATTATTATTCCAAGTGCTTTTATTACTCATTGTTTTTGCCTTTTGGTGTCACCTCATGCCAGCTTGAAAATTGCCGTGCCCGAACGTGGGAATGTGGGAAACGCACGGCCCCTGGTGTTGTACGGGAAGCCATCCGGTGAAGAAACGCCAGCCGTATCTCTTTCACATGTGTCGTTGTTCCATGCGCAACCTCTGCTTGCACAGGGGCATACTGAGGAGATTGCATCTAGGACCCTTGATGCTGATCAATACTGAGGTGAATCGCGGAAAGAGCGTTCAGAGGCTTCGGGGAATCTGGCACGACCCTTGTCTTAGACTGGGTACAGACAACCTCCAGCTATCATCAGGTGATATCTTGCAGTCCCTTATAGTTGTTAGTAACTACAGATGACACTGGTGTTTCGTAAAACGACCACCTAAGTCGTATATAGGAAGTTCTGAGGTCTTAGTGCTAGGTAAGTTGGGTTTAGGGGCAAGTTTAGGGAAATCCCTAGTACTTGATAATGAGCAAGGCTTGGTCTGAAACATGATCGTGCATGGTCCAAATTTTGGTCCCCCTGTTCCTCGTTCAATCGTTACTGGCAGCTGTTCGAGGTGCGATGCCATCTGCTAGATGGACTTTTCAACTTTTTCAGGGAACATACCATTCCAGCAGTGGGTAGCCTTCCGTCTTCCACTAGAACAGCCTTTTGGTGAGTATATAGGGCTCAGTAACTCCCCAGAAGTACTCTTCCTCTTTTTTTCCTAGATCTTGCCACTGTACCAAGGTTGAGGGTCTGGAGGTTTGAGGTTTCGGGTTCACGTTTGTCTGGGATTTAGGGCTTGTGGTGTTTAGGGCCAATGTCATGCGTATCCCCCTGGCGTGTTGGATGTTTTTTAGCATGTTCGCTTTCTTATTCTCGAATGTGGACCCAAACTGCAATGCAATTTGTACAGCTCTTAAAGTTTTGGAAGAGTTCCATTGTGCTAAGATGCCCAAACTTGATCGATTCCCAAGCCATACAATAAACGCTAAATCTTGCAGGCGGTTTCAACAATGTAACCCTTAGAATCCATACTGCTCATGGAGCGGAACTCAGCGACCTTCTGAGGAAGTTTTCCTTGACATCCTCAGCAAGATGGGAAGCCCAGTGCAGGAGTGGCAGTTCAGGGTCTTAGGGTTTATAAGGTTTATAAGGCATTATAGGATTTAGGGTTTATAGGATTTATAGGACTTATAGGGTTTATAGGGTATTATAGGGTGTTGAGGGTTTATAGGGTATTATTATAGGGTTTAGGGTTTAGGGCTAGCGTCGATTCATTCTGGGCTGAGTAGCGCAACTGCAGCGTGGTCGAACGTGAAGAGCCCTTTTCAGGCGGACTCAGAAAGCCTGTTGCAAAAAAGGGCTGCTAGGAGCATCCAAAGATTTTGGGAAGGCATCCATTTGCTATGTATGATGAGATGCTAGCCTTCATGGGGTTGTGAGCTGACACGCTGCTTTTGAGTGGCCATCCTTCAGAGATGGAATTCAGTTCTTGATTCGGGCCACCTTTACGGCAATTGCTGCACATTCTAGACTCCACTCTTATCCTTATTGCCAGGAACCTTTAAAAAATGTTCAGACCCAGATGCCTAAACCCTGAGCCCCATATTTCCCTACATGGCCACAATACAGGCAAGACATCCCTGTAAACCCATGTACATCCCAAAGTAAACCCCGTAACAATGCACCCAAAAATATATGCACAGATCTATTCCCCATACATCTCTGTAAAACCCTATAGAACCCTATCCCTCTGTACAACCTCCCTTAAAGCCTAAACCAGAAACCGGGTGGAAATCTTCTGGGCTGCTGTTAAGGAACCTGTTTTAGGTGAATATCGATAAGAAAACCTTTTTGTTTACAATATACCGATAATATGGTACCTTGAACCCTGAACCCTAAACCCTAAACCCTTCATACCCATAATATGTTAACTTGTTTGAGGTTCCTTAAACCCTAGACCCAGTTCTTTCAGGATGCGAAGCAGGGGTTGCTTCTCTTCCAGGAGGCTTTGAGGCAGCAGAGCCCCTTAGTCCGCAATGAAAATAACACAACATGATAAGCACTATGTATTTAGGGTTTAGGCGGTTTAGGGTTTAGGATTAAGGGTTCAGATTTTAGGACTTAGGGTTTCCTTTGGGGTTTAGGCTTTTGGGTTTAGGAAAAAGGGTTTTGGGGCAGGGCTTAGTCTTCAGAGTTTAGGGTCATATTCACTAAGGGGGAGCCCGACAACCTTCCTACAGTCCCATATGCGGGCTTTGCAGCAATTGGGGGCTCCATTTTGGGAGTCTCCATAAAAAGTGACATTATATCCCAGAAGCCAAGGAGGTTGAACTTGCATTGTTTTCTGGCATGACTACTTGCAGTTTGGAATTTGCATTGTTTCTGGGTGGGGGCAGAGCCCAAAGTATTGCTGTTGCGACGGGGTATGGATACAGAATGGTACGGCGTGCGCTTTAAAGGGTTTCTAACGTTGAGGCTGGGGGCGGGGGGGGGGGGCGAGCGGCGCGCATGAAATCTGAGGCAGAGTCACAAGCAGTGGGGCCCTCAGCCTCAGGCAGAAGACTTTCAGAGGACTAGCTGCTGCATGAGCTTGCCAGGAAGTGAACCCTATACCCTATGGTTTTGACACATCCTCACTTAGGTTCTGTGGTGGAGGAATTCGAGGGTCTGCTGTCCGTGGACTTCCTGGTGAACATCTGGATGCAGAAAGCACTTGTGGAGAACACGGATGAAGTCTCCCTGCAGATCTTCAAGGACCGTTTGTCTTGCTAAAGATTAATCCGAGGGTCAGATCAATAAAAGGGACCACATTTAACGAAACATTTGTTTTGAAAATTAGCCCCTCGGAGACTAATTTAGAATAGGTGGCATTTCGTATGGGGAAAAGGGACCACATTTGAAGAAATTCTCTGGGGGACCAATCCTGAAAATCGAGACATTCAATACATTCCTATTCATTTTTAAATTATTCGAGGTCCAAGAGCCCTGATGATGCGGGAATGCTTTCCTATTCTGGTTAAATTGAATTCCAGGAGCCCCAATC